TTATTTATTTATTTATTTATTTATTTATTTATTTATTTATTTATTTATTTAGCATATAGCACAAAAGGCCAGAGATTTTACAATATTTACACACTTCTAAACACTTCTGAGAAATACACTTCAATTAACGAGTGAAAACTATGATACACACAGCTGAACTATAGACACTATTATATGGCTGCTGGTTCTGCCTAAAGATTCAGATTGTTTGAGGTACAATCTGAATGCTTAAAGAGGTGAGAAGAATGAGCACCCAGCCATCTGGTGGGTATTAATTGCTGTTTGATTCCTTCACACTTTGAGAAACTGTCTTATGTGTTGCTATGATAATGAAGCCTCCTCCTTTTTCTTCTACTTATGTTCCTTTATATTGGCCTGAAAGCCGTTATTTTAAAGTGTGAATACGGTTCACAGTGATCAGTGGAAAGGCCATTTTGTAAATAAATTAGCCAAGTATTAATGTCCACCAATACTGAAATTTATTTAAAAAATCATAATCTTCTTTTTCTCCCGCTCTATTTTAGTTACCTGACCGCGAGTAAGAAGCAGAAATTCTTATATTCCACAAGACCTTTTCTGAAGAGAGCTGCCTTGGTACTTACCTATGTAAGTATTGCTATACATCATTCTCTTACTTCTTTAATGTCTTAGGTGAATTATATTCTATCAGTCCCTGAGTGTGAAGAATAAACTAATTCAGCAGTCATAACTAATTCAGCAGTCAGGGCAGTCATAACTCAAAAGATGTGCTGATTAGAAACAGGTTAAGATGAAGGTATTTTCAGCATCACAAATCTATTTGATCAACAGAAGCTCAGGTAAATGTCGATGGAGATTCACAGTCATCCAGGTCACGGTTGTCCTAAAGGTGCTTTTTCAAGAGGCAACTGGACTTTCTGTTTTTTTCTTTTGAAGACGTTTCACTTCTCATCCAAGAAGCTTCTTCAGCTCTGAGTGGTTGGTGGGGAATGGAAGGATTTATACTCCTTGCAGAGAGCTGGGCATTTGCATTCTTTTAGCCAGTCCTTAAGGTCACCTGGAGATTTATCTGTGTCATCAGGGGCCACCTGAGTGTCATCTGAAGAGGCCATCTATGTCAAAATTGAACAGCCCTCTCTCAACAGAGGGGGTGTGATATGACATTATCTATCTCCAATCTACAACACAGTCCTTTCAACAGTTCCAAGAAGGCTCCACACCCATTTGCACCACTCAAGTGATCCTGATGACCCAGATTAACCTCCAGGTAAACTTAACAACTCGCTAAAAGGATGCAAATGACCAGCTGTCTGCAAAGAGTATAAATCCTTCCATTCCCAGCTATCCAGTCAGCGTTGAAGAAGCTTCTTGGATGAGAAGTGAAACCCAGTTGCCTCTTGAAAAAGCACCTTTGGGAGAAGCTCAGGTAGAAGTTCCTTTTGCTAGCGGACCAAAATGCTTAATTGTATTATATCCAAACTTTGTTCCATTCTAGAAACAGCTCATTAATTCACCCAATAAAACACATGTACATTTATGAATGATAAACCAGCGTTCAAATTATCCCTCCCCTTTATTTTTGTATTTTGTAGATAATAAAGAATCATCATTTCAGTTTGGAATGATAGGTTATCGCTTGATGCAATGGGATGACCAGTAACAATGAAGTATTGTAATAGTTATAGATTTGCTGGCCATGTACAATTGAGTTTCTCTTTAATAATCCAAGAATTTACTCTTCTTAATCTGAAGGTGATCCTACTTATGTATTTTCGCCTATGGATAATGGGAGGTTCCATGCCAGCCTTTTCAGAGCAGGACAATCCAGCTTCATTCTCACCATATCTTCTTACAAGGTATTCAACTGGGGTTTACTTCTTTTTGATATAAACCAAATATAGTCTATATGCCTTGTTGCCTTTCCCCTCAAAACTGTGTTTAATAAAATGAACTTAGGAGTTCTGTTACTCCTCTGAGTTAAAACTCATTGCCATTAAATCATCTCAATGTAAATATTTCAGGAACTCTCCCAAAGATGACGTTTGGAGACTTTCACATGGGAATACTTCCAGTTCCAAAATGTATCTTGAATGCTTCATAGCATTCATAGATTACCTAGTATATTTTGATAAGGTGTTTAATGTGGTTAGCAGCCATCTGCTGCTCCTATTGCAATTATCTTATTTGTTTCATTCCAATTTAGCCTTCAAGAATGGACTGTGTGATCCTCCGCATCACATCATTGGTTTAACAGTCTTTCTTTTGAGGATTCTTGGATGCTTTATATAAAGCAGAGGTTCCCAAATCCTTTTGGCCTGGCGGTTGTTTTAAGAGCATACTCTGAATGTCCCCAATTCCAAAACTTTGATTATTCAGAGTATTGAGTAAGCTTTATAACAGATCTGCAGATCTGATGTTCGAGGCCATCCAAATATTAATCAGGATTCATCCTGTTTATCTGCCAGATTTTGAAAAGGTCATCTGGGTGTTGTTCCTGCTAAGTGATACAAGACATATAACCACCATCAGCTTCAGTGATTGGATTAAAAATGTTTTACTACTGGTTCTGTGGGTGTGGCTTGGTGGACATGGTAGGGGAAGGATACTGCAAAATTCCCATTCCCTCCCCACCCTACTAACCTGCTTTCCAGCTCCGTTCTCCTGTGCAGGGCAACAGAAGAACACCCAGCCGATCACTGGAACTCGGGACGCAGCGAATAGCTTGGGGGCGGAGCCAGTCAGAGGTGGTATTTGCCAGTTCTCCGAACTACTCAAAATTTCTGCTACTGGTTCGCCAGAGCCGGTCAGAACTGGCTGAATACCACCTCTGATCAGCTTGGATAAATGTTTAATAAGTATGCCTTTTTGCTGTATATTTGTACGCCACTGTCTCCCCCTGGAATTCAGAGAATAAAAAGCAGAGCTATTTCACCTCTTCAGAGCAAGCCAGCAATACAGTTAGCTATGATTGCTGCAGTGTGGGAGGAAACTATAGCAAAAACAATCCCCCCTCCCAATTTGGAGCAGCCATTTGTAAACTTAAAAGAGGAAGCAATGTATGCCAAAATACTTAAGAGAATATTGAAATTGGATCTCTAGAGAAGAAACAACACATCTTTTTCCTGATCTTTTCCTTACCTTTTGGGTTATCATATCAAAACCACGCAGCTGCTGGTTTTGTTAAATACCCGTCAGAATTCCCCTTAAAGTGGTGTTTTACGAAGTGGTCTTGTTAGGTCCTTGTTTAAAATAGGCAGTTTCTTTGGAAGAAGAGAGAAATCCGTGTTAAGCGATCATGTTTTAAATTTGCACTCTGTGAAAATGATCACAGGGAAACCTTTAATGCTGAGAATACAATTGAAGCCCCATCTTTGGAAGACAAAAGGCATTACAATGCAAACCTTCAGTATTCTGAGTTCTTTGACCTGATCTGACCAGGTTTGTCCCTGAGCATGTTTGCAAGAAGCTACAGCAGACAAGCCACCATTCGAGAGAGTGGCCCAGAGAAACAGCTCTTTGTGTCTTGGCAGAAGAGTAAACTCGGAGCCTCTGGAGAAGTAAAAGCCCATTTTCTCAGGGGTTGAGTAGAACAGAACAACATGGCTAAGTTTGTGATCCATTATCCATGTGTTTTGTGTCTTAGATAACCAACAGAATGTTCATTCTACCTAAACACAGGAAGGCTGCTGTAGTGGCTTTCAGTCAGAATAATAATTTTTTTTTCTTTGCCACTTAACACTGAGAGCTTTTTTCTCAGGAGTGTTCTCATCTTTTGCATAGGCTCTAAATCAACTGCACCCGATAAAGCACTTTATAATAAGGTTGTAAAGCACCGTGGCTGCAATTGTAACCAGGGTCTGTTATTTATGAGCTTTCTATCTTAGCTGAATTGGTTTATGTCGAAGCATTGCTTTTAGATCACCCAGCTTTTTCTTTCTTTGGTATTGCTGGTATACCTGTCTTGGTCAAATAAATCATTTTCAAAAGTTAATCATCATAGCTTCTCCTGTACGTGTATGTAGCTGTGGATATATCGGAACTGGTAAATTATTGTACTCTTGTTCTGATAATCTGCATATAGACACCAGCGGTGGGTTTCTCGCCCCGTTCCAACCGGTTCGGTTGGAACAGGGTCGGCAGCATCCTCATGCACGCGCGCGGTGCATGCATGCGTACTAGCGTCTGTGCGATGCTCCAGCTGCTCCTGGAGGATCG